AATTTGTAGACGCTTTAAACCAAAAAAGGTCTAAATGTTTGAAACTAGGACGTTGGTTCTCTCTTTTCCAATAACCCCTTATCAAAACATACCAACTTATCACGCTTGTTGAGAACGATGAAGCAATCAATTGAAGCTTAAATTTAAAGAATAAATTAAAAGGAACATTTTAATTATCTTATTCCATTTTTATGATATTTTTACGCCATCTTTCTAAACTGCAAAAAAAAAAAAAGAAGAAAATAAAAATGGAAAAAAGGCCCTTCTTGATTTTTTTTAATGTCATGTCTCTTCAAGAAGTAGACGATCATGCCTCTCCACACGTTCCATTTAATAGTGAGAGAGCATGATTTTTGCAAAAAAAAAATGATGGAGAATTTGTTACCCATAATTTTGAATCCTTTACCTGGAATGACTGGCAATCAAGTCTACAGAGCCCAGTCTACCCTGCTACTTAACCTAGGGAAAATTTCATTATTGATTAGGTTAAGATAAATAGACTTTCTTATGAAGTGTTTTTAGATTTCATAATTTCTATACATTTAACTCTTTAATACAAGGGGATGTCTTAATAATCATGGTTGTAGGAATTTTAACACTATGCCTTAAACTGTCGTCTTAATAAAGTGTGGATCAGAAAATCATTTAAAGTAGGCACCTCCACAAATTCGCTAAAAATGTGCATATCATGATGAAAAAATTCCCAAAACTTGCTAAAAACATAGATTTATCGTCAAAAGTTTTACGTTATTATTAAGGGGAAAGACAGGAGAATTTTTTGATTATAAAAATATATTTTTTATACTTTTAGAACGTTGAAGTTTTTTTTGTTAAAAATCTTGTTTTACTTGCGTCGTGGGTGGGGGTGAGGGAATACCAAATATTAGTATGGGAAATTTTAGCGTCTTTTTTGCGGTGAAAAACACATGAATTTCGAAATTCTTGCAAATATCAAATAATTGTCAGATTTTAATGAAACTTTCAGGACTTATTCACAAATGAGTGAAATTATTTTAGAAATGTTTTTTTTTTAGAAAATCTTTGTAAAATTTTTTTACAACTGTTATACTCGACTTACTTTCACAAAATTTTGAGAAATTTATTTTTTAAAGAGAATTTTGAATTTTATTTTTGTATAAACGTGCCGATATTTTAAATGAAGGCGTCCGTACACGATATTATTATAAAATAAAATCGATAAGTATAGTAAATTTAAAGCCAAATTAGCTAAAGATTAAAAAAGACATTAGATTACGAAGAATATTTCCTTAAATTTCTAATATTACTGGATAGTTAAATATAGAAATTATAGATATAAAAAAGGCACTCACGTTATATTCCTCAAGTAGTTTTTAAAGATATGGCCACTGTAGAAAAAAATAGATAAACTTCCGTTTGTCAATCAAGTTGTCAGTCCTGTCAACACCTCATATAAATACCTACCACCATTTTAAAAATGCATTTCTGTGGAATTTTAAACTTAAAGTAATTATTATTTGTTTGAAATCAGATTAATTAATATTTAAATCAGCTAATATTCCTCAAATAAAGTTTCAGAAACGTATAATTTATTTTTGAAAATTTCTTGATAAAGAGGTGGCAGATGGTAAAACATGGTGCTAATATCAGCGATTTTAGCAATTAAAAAAAAAAGTCAATTTAAATTAGTTTTGATTTGCAGCAAAATATTTTGCTTATTGGAAATATTAAAATTTTTTTTAGCTTGAAATTACAATAACAACAACAACAACAACAACAAAACAAAGAATGATTTTTCATTTTAAAAAAATCATTTCAAACTCTAGGTATCGCATTTCTGTGGAGTTACCTAATTTAAAGGGACAAAAAGTGTGCAATTAATAAACGGGGTAGTTTTAATTAGTTCGGGGAGGAGACGGAATATTTGTCCCGCACCCCGATAAAGAAAATTAATAAGAATAAATACACACTTCCCGCCTCTGTTAGGCTCCAATGAGTAGTGAGTCTCTTGTTATAACTAGCCAAATGCTGCCCCCCCCCACACTCAACCAGAACCACAATATACATCAGCTTCAAAACTACAAGATCACCATGACTTGAGTTTCAACATTCGACTTATACATGAGTATAAACGACCTTTTGCTTAGTGAGATAAGCACGCACATGCAGACACGCTCATTTATATGCATAACATTTGCTGGAGTTGTCCTGCAACCAGTGATAATCTTTTTGGAGAAATCAAATGCTATGAGTATATTTCTCTTGACATGATCAATTTACAATGATCTTATATAGAAAACTGAACCAAATCCTCATTAACTTTTATAAAATTTAACTTAAAAAAATACTATTTGTGATCTGGAGTGCTTAATTATGAGAATCTGAGTGCTTATATATATATATATATATATATATATATATATATATATATATATATATATATATATGTACGTGTATATATATATGTATATATATATATATGTATATATATATGTATATATATATGTATGTATATATATATATGTATATATATATATATGTATATATATATATATGTATGTATATATATGTGTACATATATATATATATATATGCATATATGTATATATATATATATATATATGTGTGTATATATGTATATATATATATATATATATATATATATGTATGTATATATATATATATATATATATATGTAAATATGTATGTATATATATATATGTATGTATATATATGTATGTATGTATATATATATATATATATCTGTATGTATATATGTATATGTATGTATATATATATATATGGATATATATATGTATATATATATGTATGTATATATATATGTATATATATATGTATGTATATATATATATATATATATATATATATATATATATATATATATATATATATATATATATATGATGAATATATATAATATGAATACATAATTATGAAAATATATGACAAGAAATATATATATATATATTTTTTTTTCAAAGCATATTGTCCAACTCCACCATATATTCCAAATGTAATTCGATATAGAAAATGCGTTGTTATTTAATATTTATATTACTTTCTATTTACCGCCCTTTTTAGTCACACACAAGTTTTTATTTATTTACACATGTGTCACTTAAGCATACAGTCTTTTTCACCCGTAGTGCTGTTAATGCTAAAAAGTCTTTTGCATGAGCAATACGCGTGTCGACAGCCGCAAATTTTCGATGTTAATTAATTTAACTCGTTTAATTCTGGAAATAAGTTAAATTTAGTTTTGAAAATATTCCGCCGTCAACAAAGGCAGACGAGAAAAGGAAGCAGGTTCAGAAAGGATGTCGTGTGGAAAGTTTTCGTCTCGGCAAAATACAATATGAGTATGGTTACATCTTTTTTTTTTTTGTTTTCCATTTCTTTTTCTTTTCTATCGTTCACGTTTCAATGTTTGTACAATTTATTAATGTCTTCAGTGAATATGTTCACCCGAAAGACTGAATTTATTTTCGTAATTATGACTTCTGCTCGGTGGAGATATACAATAAGTAATGTGACCCGAATAATAACAATTTTTTAATTAAAATTGTAAAAGTGAATAGGCGGGTCAAATTTGCTATGTAAATTGATTTCCCCCACCCACTACACAGACACAAATAAATATACTCTTTCGATGTGTTTTCTTAAAATGTTTAAATAAAAGAGCATTTTTATAAATTCGTAATCTACAGTGCTTAAATCGATTTGTTAATATAAGGAAAAAAAAAAAACAAAAAAAAAAACAAAAAAACTCCAGATTACGAATTTAAAAATTTAAAAAGAATTGTCTAAACATTTTTAGAAATCACGTCGTACGAACATATTTGTTTTGGCGTTCGTAGGGAGATGATGAATTCCCCCACTTAAATTTTATAAAATTTATTTTTTTATATTCGTAAACAAGTGTGCTTAATTCGTCGTAATAGGAGAAAAAAATGGAAAAAAAAATAAATGATTATTTTTTGTTGCATTGCATTGTTATTGAATAACCTCCACCGGAGTTACATCGTCTCTTGAAAAAAAAAAGTTAGAAAACCTGACATAAAAACTTGGCAGGAGTGTCTTTTTGCTTCGGTTTCGTCATTATCCATTATGTTTGCGTTGTTGAGTAAAAAGAAGAAAAAAATGTTACTTGCGTCCTTGCCAACGTGTTTGCAGAAAAAAAAAATCAGTAAAGTTGAACGAATCGTTAATGAAATCATGTATTTTTGTGTCCAGGTTGTTGAAGAAAAAAAAACAAAACAAAACAAAAAAGAAACATGTTTAAATAAATGTACAATATGTTGGGAAATTTGCAATCGGAAATTTATAATTCATAGGATATTTTTTTCCACCAATCCTTTACAATTTTTTAAAGCAAGTTTAAATTTTATATATAATTTCCGTTTATTCCTAGTGTAAGCAAACGTCCACAAATTTCAAGTACGGAAGTCTTAAAAAGAAAAAAGAATTTTTTTTTTCTCTCCGCATAAAAGAAAATGCTAAATTTTTGTCGATAACCAGGGTCGGATTTAGATGAAGAGAGGCTCCTCCAAATCCCCAACCTTCGTTCTCACGAGTAGAGGAAAATGGAAGTGTTAAACCATTTGAGTAAAGACGATAATGATGACGGGTGTTTAAAATTACTGAAGAATCTAGAATGCGTTATGGCAGCATGTGAAAGAAAGGCCTATGACAGTGTCAAAAATATTATACACCTTGGCTCGAGGTCCGTTAGATTTTGAGGTCTTAGTCTTCATCCTGCTAAGTCTATATAGGTAGATCCCGCACTTCCAGCAACAAAAATCTACGTGTCACATGAGGGTCTGTGCCACGACTTCCTCTCACTTGTGACCCTTTTCAAAGTTTCCCGCCTTCTCGTCCTGCCGTCCATTCGCGCAAGCTCGTCAGTTAAGTGGCTCGCAACCCTCACCCATAACTCTTACCCTCAATATGGCATGTGAGGGTTAAATTATTCAAGCCCCCCCCCACTTTCTCATTATGGCTTACGGCCACACCACGTTGAAAAACCGGTCCCAGTACGATCACTGAAGTTGAGCAACGTCGAGCCTGGTCAGTACCTAGATGGGTGACAGCTTGGGAATACCACGTGCTTGAATGTGTGGTGGTGTAATGGTTAATGATAAGGGATTGGAAATCAGGGAGCCGAATTCCAATTCCCGTTGGGTTCGTTATATTCACTTGCACTTGAGAAAGGTATGGATCTATCTTCTCCTCCCGGCTATGGGTTAATTAGTAAGACTCGTGTCACTAAAATCATTGTTATTAATTAGTAAGACTTGTATCACTAAAATCATTATTATCTTAAGAAATTCCTACAATCTAAAAATATTTTCTTGTTTCAAATAATTTGCAAGGGGTTGATAAGCCGTATAAAACGAATCAATCAATCTATCTCATTATGTCCATAATTTCATCTGTCTTTTACTGATTTCCAATATAATTGTTCTTTTTGTTGACATTTTAATTAAGATTTCCTTGTTCCATATTTGCTCTCGCTCCGTCCATGGAATTTTCAGTAACTTTCTGTGGAACCACATTTCTGCTGCCTCTAGTTTTCCTCTCATCAGTGAGGAATTTTTTCCAGCATTCACTGCCATATAAAAGAATGGATAACACATAAAAAATCCAGCATTCTTCTCTTTGTTTCTAACGAAAATTTATCGTTTCTCCACATCTTGCTTAGTTTTTGGAAGGCATCTTTCGCTAGTCCAATGTATTTTCAGATTTGGTGTTACATTTTCCATCCTCTGTTAAAAACCTTCCCAGATATTTGAACTTTTGTATTTACTTGATGCTGACATCACAGTTTTGTATATACGACTATGTTAATTTGTACAAAAATATGTTTATTTTTATAAAGAATAAGTTAGCATTAAACTCCATTAATTGCTTAAGTTCCAAGAGATGTATTCTTCTGAAAAAAAAAGAAGATAAATGAGATTTGTTTTGTTGTAGGAACCTCTGTAGCCGAAAGGTAATTGATTCAATATAATCTTTCCACTTCATGTCAGCAGAGAACGTTGACCCAAGAAGGTGCAAACGAGTCACTGTTCTGGAAGTTAGCATCGGTGAAAAGCAGAAAAGGGTCTCCCTGACGATTAAGAGACATCACTTGGAGGCAATAATCTTAACAAGCTATTCCTTACTCCAGTGTTCTACAACTGTTAATAGTACGGAAGGGATTCGTAGATTTTAATTTTGGATCCGACATAATTTCTCATTACCCCCCAAAAAAACAAAAACAAAAAAAACAAACAAACAAAAAAAACAACAATGACTGACAAAAAGATGTCAGCAGATATGGAATTTTGGGCGAATTTTTGAACTTGGAGAAAATCCGAACGAGAGGATATGCATTCTTTAAGAACGTAATTGAAGAGTAGGGAGACAATAATTGGAGGGGGAGTGCTTCAGACATCACGTGTCTGTTGGTCACGTGTGAATTCAGCACTTTTTTATTTTTTTTATTTTTTTATTTTACAAAACTGGCTTATTAGGGACTGGCTTTCATTCGTTGAACGGTTGACATCTTCCTAATTTCCTGAAGTCCACACACGTGGAGAACAGACATTTGTGTTCACTGCTTTTTGCGGCTTACGGTCAAATCACTCTGAAACACCGGTTCTCGTTCGATCACCGAAGTTAAGCATCGTAGAGCCAGGTCAGTACTTAGATGGGGGACCGCTTGGGAACACCTGGTACTGTAAGCCCCCAAAGTCCAACCCTTACCTCACAGTCGGTGGGGGTGTAAACGGTAGTGTCAGAGCTATGCCGCCCGGAACTTCGTTCCTGGTAGGGCCACCCAAGGCGGACAGGTCTGACACACACGCCGGCTAACAAGGGCTCTGGTGAAAATCCAAGGAGCGTCTGCATCGGTAACCAGCGGCTTCTGGTCGTTCCTGTCTCTGCGTCTGTGGGAACCCCGCGGCAAGCAAGAACGTTATCCGAGTAGGCCTGGGTACCCTACTTCTGTAATTTATCCCAAGAATCTTCTTCTCATAACAGGAAGAAGCCGGCTCAATCCGCCCAGGGTGAATGCCGCATCAGTACAGTACAGTACTTTTTGCCGAGTTGAAAAAGAGACCTTTGTCCCCAACTTCGGCGAGGCACTTTATTTCACCTTGTTATGGAAACCAGAGATTTGTGTTTATCTTTTTATGTACCTCAGTTCAAACATACTTGTTCTTGGATCAATGCGTACATTCATCTGTTATGGGACATCGTGAGGATCGTTGTAACTTTATTGTGTAATATAATACGTACTTATTAAATGCTTTAATCGTCTACGGGTGTTTAACTCGTCTTTCATTTACGTTTATTCAATATTAGTGTATCAATAGGTACACTAATACTAATATTAGTACCTGGTGAGTGGGAAAAGATTAAATATCTTTCCTAGCACCAGATTACCGGTAAGTTATGATTAGCACATAAAAATCATAATAATAGATGCTTGCTGAGCTTAACGCTCTCTGTAGACATGCGGGCTTAAGTACGCCAGATCAAAGGAGACGCTGGTTCGAACCCTGTCGCAGAGCATATTTTCTTTGATGAGCCTCTCGAAAGCACTCTCCGATAGATGTAATTCACACTGTAGGAAAAAAAAAACAACAAAACAAACAAAGCGTTTACTGAAACACTAAAATAACGTTTAGAGCAGAGATAGTAAACCCTTGATCCGGGGTTCATGAACTGACCCACCATCAACTTTTAAATGACCCATGAGGAGTTGGTGAAATGACGTCATGAAATATGGCTCACAACGATCAATATTAGAATCAACCACCAGGAATTGACTTGGTGTGGATATGAGTGTTCCATGTGTTAAGCTGAAGACAATAAAGTATGAACATTGAATTAAAATATTAGTAACTAAGATGTAGCAGAGTCTGTCTATATTTCTGAGATGAGGTACAGTATTTACATTAGTCTGACTATTGTCCTCATCTTTGTCGCCATATTTGTCACAACGTTTCAGCCGTTGTACGCTCCTCAAGGACACATGGCACAGTGGATAAAGGCGTTGGTTAGATCCAGTGACAGACCCAAAGAGTGTGAGTTCAATACCCGGTTAAGGCAGTGGAGAACTTTCAGAGGGAAGATTAGCAGGAGATAACTGATAACTGACATCCATCAAACATGGCAAGTGGAACTAGAACAGTCTACCCCAGTGATCGAAATAAAGGGTTCAGTTCGAAATTCCAACCGCCTGAAGAAGGCCGGAGCGTACAACGGCTGAAACGTTGTGACAAATATGGCGACAAAGATGAGGACAATAGTCCGACTAATGTAAATACTGTAAGATGTAGCAATATGTTTTTTTTCCCCGTTAAGAATATATAGGTAAGTATATAAATAATCCGTTTATGTTTATGAAAAAGTTTAAAATACCAAAAAATGACCCTGGGATTATAAAGGTTCGCCATCTCTGACAAAGAAAAAAAACTTGTCCGTGAGAATTGAATCAGTGTTTCAATTACATTCCTGGTTGATATTGTTAATTTCATCATTAGGAAAAAAAAACGTAGAAATCTAAATTGTCTGGGATACAATTCACTTACTGCATTTATTTTTTGATTATCTTGTGTCAGTTTTGTGCACATTAATTAATAAAAAGGGAAATGCTGAGTGACAGTGGAACAAGATCATTCATATATATATATATATATATATATATATATATATATATATATATATATATATATGACAAGTTTCATTAAAGACGTTTGACACAGTATTGCGATTAAGTTTTTTAATTTAATTTTTATTGTGCTCGTATAAGTAATTTCTTTTCTAGATATAATGTGTGTAAAAACTGTCCAAATGTTTTGTATATCCGAGCGCTTTCGGCTATTCTTCTAGCTATTATCAATGACGATTTTTATTTTTAATGGTTGGATTTTTCATGTATGTACCTAGAGTTATACAGATATTTTTTATTTTCCAAACACGGTCAGCACATTGTGGCCGTGTTCATAATTGATGTTATTGAGTGTTTCTTTTTTCTTATTAGTGCTTCCATTATTTTTAGTCTTTTTTTTTTATACATGTGGATGAAGTTACTAGTGTGTGTGTATATATATATATATATATATATATATATATAATGTGTGTGTAAAAAAAAAGCAAAAAAAAAAACACTGTTAGTGTGACTAACGAACCACTTGCCATAAGATCTAATACCTTAGATAAGAAAGAATCCTGCACAATGTTTTGTATTTTAAAAGTTTTCATTAGCATAAATGGGTGACTCATATAATTATTGATATTTTAAATGACCCCCCCCCCAAAAAAAAAAAAATTGATAATACATGTTCGTTGTTAATGTGTTAATTAGATTACCTAGATTACGAATGATATTTTCTTAAATTTTTAAGATAACTTAGTGCTTAAAAATGATATATTATATATTATATATTATATATAATATATTATATAATATATATTACAGTGTAACCCAGATATAAGAGACCCGGATATAAGAGAAACCCGGATATAAGAGAGATTTTCTCTGGTCCCAAATTAGAGCCCTTACTTACCTAAACAAAATAGACCAAACCCGGATATAAGAGAAACCCGGATATAAGAGACTTCGTCACCGGTCCCGACAACTCTCTTATATCCGGGTTACACTGTGTATATAAAATGATGTATTTTTATACTTTCATAATTTTCTTGTTCTTTTGTCGGGGGAATTCACTATTTGCTCATAGCTGAGACCCTAACAGGTGCCACCATTCTGGGTTAGGGTGGACCTGGGAACAATAGCAATTAAGTGATGGTTCCATGCTCCTAAAAAAAAAACTCCAATATCCCCAATAAGAGGCCTTGCCACCGAATGTCTCTGGTTTTGAATAATACAAAATTAAAGTGTACCATAGAATGGTGGCAAAGTGTTAGCTTTATCCTTAATGTAAAACAACATTTCTATTCAAATTGTCGAAATACCACGAAGCTAACCTCGAGGCCAAATGTCATGACTGTTTGCCATAGAAACAAAGAAGAGATAGTGGAGGAAAATGGTAGGATACGAAACAAGATCGGTTTAATGGGAGGTGTCATATATACAGGTCAAGGACAGTTGCTCAGTT